ATTGAAGAATTATGTAAAGGTTTTCCTGGTAGGGAAAAAATTTGTTTTTAACAGTTCGTACGGGTCGCCGCTTTGTCTATTCCATTTTAGCTGAATTTACAACTTATTTGTCTTATTGTCGATCATTACGTTTTGATGATAAACCAGATTATTCGTAAGTATAATCCTAGAGATATAAAAATAAAATGTTGGTTTTTTTTTGTCTTTTATCAGATATTTACGACAATTATTTCGTAATCTATTTCATCGACAAGGTTTTACATATGATTATATATTTGATTGGAATATGCTTAAATTTGTATGATGATATTTATGTTTTAAAATAAAAAAAAGTTTTCATTGTTTTTTTTTTTTTCTTTCTATAGAGTGGTCAACGCTTTGATACGAACAGTGTTAATGATGGTTCAGCAAATAAACTTGAAACAAATGGATATAGTGCTAGTGGTAATGCTCAACAACAAATGTATACAAGTACAAACAATCAAGGTGAGTTCAAGGAAAAGTTTTGATTCTTTTCTTTTTTTTTGTTCTTTTGTCGTATTATATTTCTAAATATATAATAAATAATAAGAATAGAAAGTAATGAAATGACTATTGATCAAACAATTCAAGATCAATCGATGAGTATGAATGATGATTATGTTCAAATGATAAACAAATATACTGATTATGAAGAAAATAATCATAAAAATTTGTACAAATCATCTTCGAATCACAATACTAATAGTAAAAAAACAAATGCAAATAATGATTGTATCAAAAAAACATCATCAAGTTCAAATGTCTTTAGCCGTCTAATGCATAGTGAGCTGCATGTTCAAAAATATAATAAAAACCAGCATAAATACCAATAAAACCAATACGGCTGCTGCTTCACTATTGTTTTTTTTTTCTTTCGCTCTCTATCCTATACCTTGTACTGTCATTATTGCATCTATTAATCTACATATTTAACGTATCTATAATTTAAAGATAGAAATAAATATGTATATATTCTATTTTCTTTAGACTTTGATGAGTCTGAACCACCAACAACCAAATCCAAAATGAAATAATAAATAAATAGAAAAGACAAAAAAAAAGAAAAAGAAATTTACTTGAGAGAAAGAGAGAGAGGTAGTCATTATCAATACTTAATGTGTGAATGAGAACTCTCTTTCAATATTCTATGCACATATAAATATCACTTTACACGCATTTGATCTTCTACAATGCTTTTAAAACATATCTTTCGTTTTCTTTTCCTGAATTTTGCTTTATGCTTTGACATCTTTATACTCTTTTTTTTTTTTTATTTCTTTGAAAATAGAAAAAATAATGAATACTAATTCATTTATAGGTGTGTGTCGACGAACTTCGAAAGATATTCATCAAATACAACCACAACAATCAACATCGAATAATTCCAAACAACAATTACCGATTGGAACAGATACAGGTCGATCATCGTCAGTGCGTGCTCCTAAAAAATAATCTTGTACGTATATATATATTTTTTTCTTCTTTTCTTCAGTGTACAGCGCCTGTTTCTATTTCTTGTCTTCTTGAATTTTTTTTTTCTTTTTATATATATATATATATTAAAAATCATTCAGTTTCTTGATTTTTTCGATCATAAATTTATTTGAGAAACGTCGACCTGTGAACAGTGTGTATGTGGTCGCGATCGCATTTCTTTTTCTTTCTCTTCAGTCAACTTAGATTGTTTTGACAATCAGCATCAATTTCTTCCATCAATCATATTTTCACATATGTTTGTTTTTTTTGAAGTTTGAACCACGCATTTATATACACTCTATTTCTCACTTTTTGGTCTCTAACACGTTTTTCTTTCTCTCTCTCTTTTTTGATATTTATTTGTTGTACTATTGATGCTGATCGTCTTCTTCTTTCTTTTCTCTCTCTCTCTCTGGTTTTTGTTTGTTTGTTTCTTTTTTTTGTCACTCTTTATGTGCGCAGTCTCAAATTACACATAAAAAAAAAACACTCACACACATTATTCTTCGTTTTTTTTTTTCTTGTCTTTTCTTTTGTTTAAAAGATCACATTATGTCAGTAATAAAAAGAAAAAAAAAACAATATATGAAGAATAATTTAAGATTTATATACTCTTAGATTTCGATATTGGTTTCAAGTTTGCTTAGAGTTTAATTTTTGCAAAAACGAAATAGTTTTTTTTTTAAAGTTGAAACATGTTTTTGCTTATGTAATTCAATGAACACATGACATGAATTGGAAATATTTTAGAAATTGAATATGTGGGCAAGTGCATGCCATGTAAAACCTATAGTGTAGTGTGATGAAACTTTTACTATGATTTGAACATATCTAGTCATATTAACTAACAATACAAAGACCTTCATTGTAAATTGAAAACATTTAACATGCACTTTTGATAATAAATTCAAAGAAATTTGATATTTGAAATCGATATTTTAATAAATTACTTGTTAGATAATAATTAAATAGATAGTTCTTTTATGCTTCAAAAAGAAAATATGATTTTTCTAAAATTACTAAACAATTCTTTATCAAATAAATCAGAAAACAACTTATGTACTCATATTACATCGAGAGTTTTCGAAAGATGAAGAAAACTAAGCTTTCTTCTCTATTCAGTAGAAGTATAGCAAGGTTTCCAATCAGTAAAATGAACAAGATTGATACATTTTTTTTGATAGATGCTCATGAATCAAATTCAGTTCATAAGTTGACTTTTGAAAAATTGAGTTCTCTAGATGGATTTTCATAGTTTTAGGCTATTCGAAAATAATGAGATGTATACAGAAAGATGAGAATTCAATTACTTTTCAAGACACAAAATTGATTTATTCAGATAGAAGAGTATTGTTTTTTTTTTCTTTTTCTAGTTGTACGCTTGTATAAAAACATTTATTTAATTGTGAACAATTATATGCAGATACTCATTAGTTTCAGCTCAAGACATTGAACTAACCACCTAAGACAGAAAAAGAACTGGCTAACAATTTTAGCTAAGATATTGATTAATAAATAGCTTTAATTAGCTTCATGTTATTTGACACGTCTATTTATATTTTCATCAAGTAATACAGCACTGTATATGATACCATATTTTTCCCGAATACGGCTGTAGTATTGACTACATAGTTACTGTCAGAATAGGATCCGTTTATGTATTGTAAATTAACCGTAAACGGTTATATGCCAACCATATCCTTTAACCTAACTCGTTGTAAATAAGATTGTGTTAAACAAGTCTCTCATGTACGCTCATGATCTGCTATTGTTTTGTTTCAGTTGAGTTAATAGTGTTGCAATAACAATCCGAAAAGGATTTGGATTCCTATTAAGATTTGACTAAACTTTTGAATATTTTTCTAAAGACTCTCAAGTTTTCGAAGAATTCAACTTCCATAAAAAGTTTATAATTTTTGAAAAAAATCTTCTCAAGATATGAAACATTTAACAAATGCATGATATTAGTGCATGACGCACATGAATTACGAAATAAATCAAAATTTCTATACGTTATAAAAGAAACTTATTAAATCGATATACTTTATAGAAACTAATCTAGTCGAGTTTTCTATATCCACAAAGTTTAACATCAAAATTCAAAAACTACGAGTTTTCCGAAAGAGATATTAAAAATTCAATAGTTTAGTCAAATTTCGATAGAAACTGGAATTATTTAAGGATATTTATTAGAACACAATGTAGTATCTATTATAAAATGTACTTAGGTATACGGTTGTCCTTAATATAAAAAAAATACTACGATTTGTTTCTAATTAATATTCTCTTTTCGTTATTGATGTATTGAAGCTGATTTATTTAATTAATATCATAGTTTTTCTTTTCTGTTTCAGCATATTTCTTACATGAATTTGATTTTTTTTCATAGTAGGTTGTTTTCAGTTTCTTTGCGTTATTAAAAAAATAAGAAGAAAAAAATTTTCTAGTGCCTTTTTTAAACCTAATGATATACTTCTGAATAAAATATATATTAATTAGTTAAATGTATGATGCTTGTTATCTACAAATTTTAGACCATTCTCTTAAGTCTTTGTATGCAAACATTGAATTCAATCAACATTAGTTAATAAAAAAGAAACACTATCGTATATTTTGTTTTTGCCCATATAGAACGGATTAAACAATCTCTTTTTATGTTAATCGTTTTCCACTTATCGTTTTGTTTATTATCGATCATTGTAATATAACTAATCACTGTAAAATTCGATGTTATAATAAAATTTAAATTCTTATTATATACGAGCAATTGAATACCAGCATGTATAGGAAGTACAGACGTTGATATTAAAGCAGTATATGCTTCGTCTAATATTAAAGAATGGATATTTTGTTGTTGTTGTTGTAAATGTTATATAAATTATAATACTTACTTGAATGCATAGGTAAATATTTGTTGAAGCCCAATACAACATTACAAAATTTTTATTATTTATTTACTGTTTAATATGTCATATTTTCATAAGTAATGAGGTCGAAGAGCAGTAAATTGTAGGCGAGAAATTAATGAGTATAAAATTGCTATGAAAAACATTATTGAACCCTTAATAGATAATTCTAAATCGCGAAATTATAATTATCTATCAATTAATTTGTTTGTTTTCTGATCATAAACTATAGATATACATGTGTGTAGAATTTTTGTTTTTTTTTTGCTGTTTTGTTATTCCTGATGATGACAGATGTATTCTGTCGAAAGGTTGAATAAATAAATTTGATTTTTGTAAAAAATCCAATAATGTTCTTCGCAGCAGTCTTATACTCATTTATGTCACGATATATTTTCTTTTCAGTCAATGTAGGATAGAGGTTGTTATTATTCATCTGACGTCATATATTACCTATGGTTTTTCATTGAAAAAATGTCGCATTGAATAATTCATAAAAAAGAAAAGAAAAGAGAGTTTCTTTTCGATTATGTAAATATAAATATGTAGGGCTTGATATTTTCTTATAATTCAATTGATATATTTATATACATATTGATGTGTTTTGATAATAGCAGTACATCTCAATGTCTTAATGGTGGTTATTGCAGTTTGAATGATACTTGTATATGTGCAAGTGCTTGTTTCGTAGGTAATTTCTGTGAGATTAATTATAATGCAGTTCGTTTACCACTTACTGGTGCTATTATTCAAGATATTTCAACAGGACGAGACTTTTACATAGCTTTCTTTTTTCTACTTGGATTCTGTGGCCTTATAAACAATGCTCTATCATTGGTAACATTCATACGTGAACAAATTCGTCTTACAATATGTGGCCTTTATTTAATTTTGTTTTCCATATTTGGTATAGGACTTACGTTAACTATTTTCACTTATATAGCAACTATTTTTTGCTATAAAAATCAAACATATCAATATATAGCTTGTTATTACATACCATTTATAGCAGTCGCTTTAAATGATGGAGCTTTCTTATTCACTACAGCTATTGCAGTCGAACGTATTATTAGTGATTGTTGCAATTTAAATATTCAAAGACGACGAACACGAGGATTATTCGTATCTATAATTATTATTGTTTATGTGTGTTGTTCAAATATAGATGAAATATTTCTTCGTCGTATTTCTACTGATCCTATAGGTAATAAGATTTGTGTGTATGATTTTGAGCGATATCCAACATGGCGTCGTATTGATATTGTTTTTTCTTATACACATGTTATTATACCTTGTGTAATACATTTTATTTGTTCAGTATATGTTCTTACGATAATTGCTCGTCGAAAAATATTTATTCGTGGTATAGAAAATAGATTTTTTCATGTATGGTGTGAACAATTACGTATTAATCGAGATTTTTTTATTCCACCAATATGTCTTATTTTCTGTATTCTTCCACATGGTATATTAGGTCATTTACTTCAAACATGTATACCATATTCAGACAAAAGTAAACTTCGTCTTCATATATTATTTGTAGTTTTATTATTTGTTCCACAAATGTTAAGTTTTATCTTATATGTATGTCCAAATCAAAAATATTGGAAAGAATTTCGATGTACAATTGTTTATCGTAAAGTTTGCAGTAATTTTTGTCATAGACAACAAAGATTGCAACAACAAAATGATACGGAATTACAAAGAGAACAAATAAGAATGTCAGTGTACTTCATCAATGAAACAAGTTCTGCTAATGAACAAATGGATACTACTATATAGATATAA